CAGCAGAAAAAGCAGAAAAAACCCATTTCTGAGTAAAAATAATCTATCCAACTTTTAATGAGCTTATATTGTTTGTTTATTCTCTGTTAATTCCTTTTTGTTCAGAATGTTTAGAACTAATCCAAATCTTTTCATCCAAACCACCAAATAATTTGATTGATTGTACAATTGAATACCGGTATGTCCTCACCAACAGTTGTACGAGACAAGCTTTAACGTTCATTTAATAGAATATTTCACCGGCAGACAGCTTGACTGTTCCGGAGATGCAATTTTTTGCCTCTGTAAATATTTAATTCAAGTTATCAAAAGGTAAATTCATGGACAAATGTCCCTTTATCCATCTGGCTGCAGTGCCACCAGAATTTGTGGCAGATCAATTGGACAATTCAATCGGATCTCAGCAGCATTTTCCGCTCAGTTAGTGGCAATCAATGGGTTTATGCACAAAGCAAGAGAAAAGGGGGGAAGTGAGGGTGGGGGGAAATATCAGTTCAGGGCCAGCCTGTGATCCTTGATGAGGTACCATACCCATGATTTATCCGACATCGCAAGTGGCCAAGTTAAGGCTGTTTCAAGTGTCTCCTGAAGATAAATCAACTGCACATCAAGACAAGATTTCCCACTGACCACCCTGATGAATAATTCTATGAAGATTTCTTTTGAACTTCTATCATTACTAATTCAGAGTGCTTTCATAAACATGCACACTGCTTTATCCTGGTTTGTTACTGGTCTTTCATGGATGAGCAGTCTGGTGACCGTTTGGGCTTATTAGTGCATGAATTTCCATTAAATCTCTTAGCATGAATCCAATTTCCTGTTCTCTGTTCTGTTCAACATCACTTGATTCCAGCACATCAAAAGAATTCCCAGACCAGTGTGAACTCTTGTTACAAATACAGTCCACTTTTCAAACCAATTCAAGTGTTTAACTTAAGATAAAGAAAGAAAACAAACAAAGGGGAAAAGATGATGGAAACTATATTCAGATCTATTCGACCTGGCCTGTTTTTATGTTTATTTAAAGAGTGCCTTAACTTTAAGTGAACCTTTTTTTTCACCTTTCACCTTTCACCTTACACCTTACTGCATTGATGTTCAGGTATGCTATTCAGTATGGTTACAGGTACAACAAAGCACAGTTCAAACCTATAAGTGATTCTGATAGGTGGTGTAAGTGTGGTTACAGGCGAAACAGGGTTGGAACTTTAAACCAGACCGGGCAGCAAAATACTGTAGCTTACACACACTAGTTTTAAATTACTCTTTAAAAAGCCAACTGACAGCTAAAGAAGCAGATCTGATAAGGTGACAACCACATAGGACATTTGGTTCCTATAATACTAACAAACAAGTCTGTAGTGGATCACCAGGGTTGTCTTTTTACAGGCAAAACTCAAAAGCTCTTCAAGCTGTTGGGGCTTGTATTTACAAGAGGATTAAGTCCTTTCAGATGATGTTATTCTGCACTATGTTCAATTCAAAGTGTTCATCTTTAGAAAAGAACTAAAAACATGTAGAGACGTCAACAAAAACTTTGTTGAACCTTTGACTCATATTTATTTATCTGTAAACCCACATCTTGAGTGTAAAAAGAAGCTAAGAAAGGAAATCACATTTATGGCAACTGAGCAAACAAGGTTTATTTGGTTTAGGAGCAGTAACACATTTTAAACTGTGGCCTTGTTTCTTGTGGCGTCTCTTGGGTTTTTTAGATAGCTGCAGGGTAGAGTGATAAAAAACTGCAGTGAGGGACTATAGAGAACAAGGCCATGGAGTGGAGTGGACCTACAATATCATGTCCTAAAACAGAAGAAGATACTGGGTCACTCATGGCAAGATGGATGGACTGAGGAAGGACGGAGAGGGAATACAGGAAAGTGGGATGTGCAAAAAATTTCGCATTGTGGGATGTTTAAAAATGAAGGAGAAGAAAGAAATTGAGAGTGAAAGAGGGAGAGGGGAGCAATAAAGATGAAGGCAGAGATGATAATTGGACCTAATTTGCAAGTGTGTCTGTGTGTGTTTTACAGATTTATTCTGCTTCAATATGGGTCAAGGTTATGTAGTTAGTCTAACAACACTGATGTTTCTTCTCAACTATTCTCAGCTGTTTCTGTTTAACCTGCATCCAGCGAATAAAACATATTCTGGGAGACAGTGACAGTGAGAGAGGAGAAAGTGTTTCATTTCCGAACTGTGTGTTTGTTGTCTAGTCTACATTTGAATGAGAATAGGAGGTTTGTGATGTATAGCACTTAATGTAGGTGTGTTACATTGATAGCTAACTGTAGGCTAAATGCAAGTACCCAACTAGAATAATCAGTACAGCCTAATTTTGGGAGAAAGGTGTTATATGACCACAGGTATATACTGATGATACCTGTTAAATAGTTATGAATGGATATTAAGTCTGTGGTAAACAACTAGGTTTGGGTTTACGTTTTATAGATTATACTATATCCTCAGTTTATCATTTAATCCTGGTACAATTTTTGGCATATTACTTGAACAAGACAATAAACCAAAATATCCTGAGAGCAAAAATACAGAAAAATATAAACATCCTGTCTTGCTGTGTGTGTGTTGTGTGACTGGATGAATATATTGGCTATATTGGAGTCTGTTACCGGTTGTTCTTTTCGGGTAATTTTTGTCTTTTTATTTAGCTAATTCAATGGTCTGCCTCTGAAGAACGAGAGCTGCTGCTCAGTGACAGACGTTCAGTGGCACAGCACACACACTGAGCCAAAGAACGAGTGAGAGGAAAAACTGCTGTAGAGACAGAATAATTTCACATCTATCTCAGTGGATTGGGGTTTATTTTGACCAGTTCGACAACAAGGAATACAGTAATATGGTGATTTACAGCGGCTCCTACCAGGACTCTGACTCTGGGGAGGACAAAGACACGGTGGGGACAGGCTGGAGCAGGAGAGCCATCAAGCAGGAGAGGAGAGAGAGGGAGGTCGAGCATCAGCGAGGAAGCAACAGCGTTTAGAGCCAGAGCATTAACATATCTAACACTGTTAGACACCAGAGTCGTCGATTGTTGAAACAGGAAAGACTATTTTGGTGAGTTTTGTTTTGCTTCTGTTGATGAGTTAGAGAAGGTATACGGTTGTATTTTTTCTTTCTTGACATCCTGAGTTTATTTTGTTCATGAGGTAAGAGAGCTTGCTGCACGTAGTGAACTGGCCACTCATCTCTCAGCTGAAACTGGCGGTGTTGGACATATAACATATCTCCCAACCTACTGGATGTTTTAAACTTGTTTTCACTTGAGCTGGATTCTGGTGCCACCTTGGACTTTCATGAAGCTTATAAGTGATTGTTCCAGTTCACCATATTGTAAATACCATACGCTGATGCATGCATAACTGCCAATTTAGGCAACAGCGCAGCAGGTCTAAATTTTGCTCCAACAAAGTCATTTCCAGGAATCGGTACATGGAAGTGAAAAACATGCATTTAAACAAATTACTGGCTTCTTTTAGATATGTGACTCGTCTTTTGATGTTATACAAGAAGAAAACTTTCAGCCAGAAATAGGAGTTTAAGTTCTGTGCTCAGTGGGGCATCCGCCACTGTGGTGCTGGGTGTATGTGTTACTGTAACGTGTGCATGGTAATATGTGTGTGCGCAGGGATGTTGGCGGTGTGTGTGCTTCCAAGCTATCATAGCTCAGTCATGCAGGTAAAGTCATCATCACTGGCAATCTGCTCAAGCCTCCAGGGGATCACGCATGCGCACACTCATATGTGCATGCACATGAACACACACAAACACACACTCGCACACACACTTGCAGAGTTTCTCCCTGGGGTGTTTCTTACTCCAGAGAGGAACATAAGGGGGGGGGGCAGAGTCCATTCACCCATACAGACAGAAAGAAAATTAATTTGTCACAGCACATTTATCGTCAGGACAACCTGCCTTTTAATTAACGGCTGACAAACAGCAGAGAGTCGAGTCTCTCTCTGGGGAGAGAGAGATAGAAAGAAAATTGAGGAGAAAGAAAGTGCTCCCCTCATCACTTGTGATTGACAGAGGAACTGGAGTGCAAGGGTGGCAGACCTAGAAAACGTTCTTTATGGTTCCCGTGTTGTTGAAGTCAGATACTGATATTATTATTAGACCCTAAAAGCTGATACTGTGTGCTATCTTAGCTTAGAAAAATAATGATGTAATATAATAAGTACGTTGTCATTTATATTATTATTTGTTTGTGTAGGTGTATTCAAAGTATGGTTTAGTTTAGGCAACTACAACTACTTTGTTAAGATTGACATCATGGTAAGAGCACACAGCAGTGACTGTTGGTAGAAGCTTGGATGAAATAAAATTGGCAGACATCACGTGAGATCTAGGTAATCTTAACATTTTAAAACATAGTTAAATGTCAGCACTTGAATGCCAAATTACTGCAGATAAAAAACCCAGTCCCTCGGTATGTACAACCGCTAGAAGAAGAGTCTGTTTTCACTATTATATGGATCAATTCACATTTAAATATATGATCACACAGGCTGAATCCAAAAATCCAATCCAAAATCTATCTCCATCATTAACTCTCATGTGTTTCTGCTTGTGTGTGTGGCAGTTAAACATATGGGTAGCCCTTTGACAGTATGTCGCAGTGTGTTAATAAAGGCTGACTGTGGCCTAAAACATTGTCAGACAGTTCTCAGAAACTTTTGTTTTGTCTTTTAAGTGCTACTTTAGTTTCAGAGCCAGCGGCTGGCATGTAGTCCTGGATGATAAACCAAACAGCGTCTGCCTGACAAGCCCCGTTCTGTCATGTAAAGCTAAAACATCTCAGCTTCGTGTGCGAGAGTGGAATAGAAAGAGCTTGTGTTCACCCGACTCACATCAAGCCTCAGACCAAAGAGCTCTTTAAAGTATCGAGCCATAAAAACAGACCTGCTGCCTCAAATACCACCAGAGTGGACTGCTGTGAGAGAAAGACTGAGTGAGTGTGTGTGTGTGTGTTCTACCTCTTGAGGTTAAGCAGGCCCCAGGGGATGCCGGTGGGCGTTTTGAAGGCTGGCAGCAGCTTTTCACCCAGCTCCACCGCCTTTCTACGGAATACCTGAGAGAGAAAGAAAGACAGCATCTCATTTACAAGATGTTCCTCCTTGCAGAAAAAGGCTTTCACATTTCCATGGCCAACCCTTGAGGAAGACACCGCACCCAACAAAGGAAATAAAATCACTGTCTGCAGCACACACTGAGCATTTGTACACAGCAACAACATTCAGTATAAGACCCAT